CCAATAAAATAATTCTTAAAAAAAAAAAAAAAAGAAGAAGGAAGTTTGTTATCTTAGATAACAGGTAGTCCAGGAGCTGGGTAGGCTCTAGGTATGGGGAACTCAGGACTCCCATTGTTTCTGCAATTCTCTTGGCCCTTCCCTTTTCTGTTCACCTGCTTTGCCCTCTGGCTGATCTTGTCCATTGCTGCAAGATGATTGCCAGTCACAGTGAGGTGACATTGAATCTCTCTCAGACTGGGAACTCTTTCTTCTGTCTGATTGTATCAATCTAGATTATCTGCCTACCTGAACTAGTAACAAGTAGTCTTTGCCATTCACTCATGCACACCTATTTTGTGTATGGTATACTTATCTAGAGTGTGTAACAAACTCTTACAACTCAAAAGTAAACAATGGCAGAAGATCTGAATGAACATTTGTCCAAAGAAGATGTACAGGGCTGGCTTCATGGCCTGGTGGTTAAGGTAGCTGGATTCCATATAGCTGACTGCACAATTCGAGTCGCGGATCCTGCAGCTTGAGAAACATGCCAGGTGCTTGTGTGTGCATGCCCAAAATCCTGTCAGGAGGAAGAGATGGAGGAGAAGGGATTGCGGTGTGACCATTCCTCATGGGAAGTGCTTTCTCTCCCTCTCTCTGTCTTCTCTGGTAAGCACATGGGCCCTCTTGCAAATTAAAAAGAAACAAATATACAAACAAGGAAGCATTACACTATCAAAGATGCCAGTCACAAAACGCCCTCACATATTGTATGATTCTATTAATATGAAATGGCCAGTACACACAAATCTATAGAAGCCAAATGTAGATCTATAGAAGCAGAATGTAGATTGCGGTTGTCTGGACGGTTGTTGGGGGATGATGGGTAGATTGGATAGTGATGGTTAAAAGGTCTGGGTTAGAGCCAGCAGCTGGCATGGTGGTTAAGGTGGCTTGATCCCATAAGGTCTACTGTATGGTATGAGTCCAGGACCCTGCAGCTTGGAAAACATGCTGGGCGCATGTTCATACATCTTCAAACTTCCAAGCGTAGAAAGGAAGAGAAGGGATTGTGGTGTCTCTGTCTCTCTCTAATGAGTGCATGCACTCTATGGCAAAAACAAACAAACAAACAAACAAAAGACAAAAGAAAGTACAAAGATGGGGAAAGGGTTAGTGACGAGATGAGTGAGGGGAGGGACCATAAGCCAAGTCATCACATTGTCAACTGTAACCAGTATTTTATTAGAAAAATTGCTCCAAGATTCTCTTTAGAGCTTTTATTAAGTTTATATGCAAAGAAAGTACCGGGTTTAGTCACAAGAGAAGTAAGGTAGTTGTAGTCTTCAAGCAGGTTTGTGATTTGGGGAGGGACAGTTAAGAACCTGTAACTCCAAGGAAGAAGCAAATATGGGGATGGTTATAAATAACTAGTCTCAAGGTTCCAGATTGGAACGTCTGTGTCACAGTCCTGTTTTTGAATCTCTCTGTGGTGATAGAAGATGGACTTCTCAGATTTAGGTGCTGTGATTAGACTTCATATCTCAGTTTCATCATGAGTTTAAAATTAGGCTTTCAATGTTGAAAATAGAAATGAACTACTATAGACCATCCTGACTTAGAATGATTCGACTTCGACTTTGACTTTACAATAGTGCAAAAGTGATATGCATTTAGTAGAAACCATATTTTGTGTACCCATACAACTGGTCTGTTTTTTCATTTTCAGTAGTCAGTAAGTCACATGAGATAATTCTATACTTGAGTATAACACAGGTTTCGCGGTAGGTGATTTTGCCCAATTATAGGCTAATGTTAGGGTAATGTAAGTGAGCATGTTTAAGGTAGGTGAGGCTAAACTATGATGTTTGGTAGGTTAAGTGTATTAAATGTGTTTTTGACTTACAGTATTTACAACTCATGATGGGTTTATCAGGACGTAACCCCATTATAAGTTGAAGAGCAGCTGTATGTAGAAGATTATTGAAAAAGAAAATCTACCCAATTGATACAGGACCCTTTCATAAACTGATATATCTATATTGTACTGCTGCTCAAAGACATTTAATTTCTTCTTTTTCCAGGTGAACCCTAACCTGATCAACAAATTTGAGCAGAATGACTTGAATTTTGTAGGTCAGGATGTCAGTGGGGAGAGAATGGAAATCATTGAACTGGCAAGTAAGTGGGTTCTTCATTTTCGAAAAGCTTCATGGTAGGCTAATATCTTTTTATTGACCACAGATTAATCTGAGATCCAGCTTGCTCTCTTTTTCTTTCTCTTTCCTTTGAAATAAATATGCAACTATAAAGTACATGAAGAAACAGATTGTTTATAATCATTTGGGGGCATATTAGTCTGAATATACCATAAAATATATTATTCTGAGTCAACCAGTTATACAAGTAGCATGTGTTTTTACCATCCACTGGCTCCCCTCTGCAGTTTTCTTCTATGAGCTAATCTCATAGAAGATTGGGCACTCTGGAAAAGGCAAACAGCTCACTATTGAGTGACACTCTGCTTGCTCTCCTCCTTTGAGGAAGAACAGCCAAGTGCCCATCTCACTATTGTCAAGCAGTGTTGATGTCTACTGTATTTGGGACCTGGCTCTTCTTCTGCTTTTCCCTATTGCTCATACTCCACGGTCAAGCATGTGTCAACCATTTAACCTTGGAACACTGACTGCGGCACTCAGAATTCTTTTTAAGACCAAACAAAACACCAACAAAGGGATTGGACTTCTATTGAGAAAGAACACTGAAGAAATTGTTTGTGACTGGGCTGGGACACCTCTGAGAGCCTGAGACACAAACCTTATGTTCATTATTGAAGAAGACAGTGTTCTTCTCATTCAGCTCTGCCAGGAAATAGTATCTTCTTAGTCCTTTTTGTGCTGCTATAACAGAGCCCCCGAGACTGGGTAATTTGTAAAGAATAGAAATTTATTGATTCATGGTTCTGGAGGCTAGGAAGTCCAAAAGCATGATGATGGCATTTGCTTGGCATCTGGTGAGGGACTTCTTGGTACATCAGAGAAAGAGAATGTAACAGAGCAAGCGAGGGCTGAGTCTTTTTAAAAAATTTTAATTATGATTTCTTGTGTATATATAATTGATGTAAATTTTTTGTGGGCTATAGAATGGTTTTTTAAAGGCATACATAGAGTATATAATAATCAAATCAAGAATATACCCATATTCATCTTCTTTGGCATTGAGCATTACATATTGTACACATTAGTTGACAGCTCTACTAGTTTTTTTGAAAAATATATATTAAAATGTCTTTTTTTTTACTCTGCTGTGACACTATCACATAACCTCTTTGAACTGTTTCTTATAACCTGCTCTCAGGACAATAAATCAAATCCATTCTCTCATTCTGCCCTCATGACTTAACCACCGTGTAGCACTTTTGTAGTCAAGTACTTTGGGAGTTTTGAATAGGGAGAATTGAAGTCAGAGAAGCCTGCAATGAACATAGTAGCATTTTACCTGGACCCTGAAAGAAGGAAAGCAATCGACATTTCGTATGTTTTCATTGGATTGTTGTCATTAGACTTCTTGTGAGGGACTCTGCATGCCTTATGTAATTTACAAAGTAGTTGACAGTATTCTCACTTTATAGAGACTGGGGTGTACAGAGGTTAGACAACCAGGGCTATCCTGCTAGTCACTGATGGGGCTGGAGTAAACCCCGGTCCTGGCCTCCTGCCCTGTGAGATTTTCTTGTTCCTCTCCTTTTCTTGGGACACTCAGCCTAAGGTTATCAATCCATGCCTAGGGTTTTGAATTAGAACAGGAAGGAGGTATTTCTGGAAGTCTTTCGGATGGAAATACCCATCATTTAGAATTGAATGTGAATCATTGTTTGGTATTGAAGCCTCTTTAAGTCTTTCTAGCATTTGAGAAGGTAGAGAATTTCTTAAACAAAGTACTATTTGTTTGCTTTGTTCAAGTACTTATTTCTTTTTCATTCTCCTGGTTCTCATTATTGTCAGCAAATACTTAGAAACCTTTTTTATCACAAGGATTTAGATTCCCATTGACACTTTGAAATTTCACGTGGGTTGGGAAGGAAATGAGAACTGCTGTAAAATCTTGCAATTTTAAAAGTCTGACTGCAAGGGAATTCATTTTATTAAAAAAAATTCCCCAGAAGATTTGAATTCTGGTACCCCCTTAGACGCATATTCACAAATCTCCACCATTCCTGAAGGGTTCTAAAAAACAACAAAGCTTGAGATTAGTATAATGTTAGAATTTGGCTCAAAGCAATTAAGAACATTATTTTAAAGATACTTTATCTGACTGAGAGAACATCATCAAAATAAACACTTTTTAATCTTTCTTCATATTAACATAGAGGTTGTATTTGGATAAAGTGATTCAGAACAATGATCCACTCATTTAAATATTCTGTCCCTAGCTATGACATGATCTATGCTCAGCTTCTGATTTTAGTGGTACAAAAATGCAATTACTGTCTGCTTTCTTTCAAAGATAGCCCTAGCTGCTGTGCTGTAAGATTGATCTCATCTTAAATTTAAAGCTATGTTGCTTAATTTCTTCTCTAAGTGTGGATGATTTTTCTTTTTTTCTTGAGATGTCACATTCCTGGGAGAAAATGGCATTCCCCTCACCAACCTTTTATATCTGACTAACCCTGTAATTCATGGAGACTTCTTCTTAGGTGTTCTCCATTGCATTTTCCTGGGATCAGAGCTGCCCAATGATGGAACTATTCTGTCCTGTTCACAAATGGCAGCCACTAGGAATAAGTGGCTAACGAG